CAACAATGATGAGATGATTAAATCAACAAAAGGGATCCAAAAGAAGAAATCCAAAACCCGTAATTACTACGACCATGTGTTCACTCTTTCTCAGTCTTCGTCTTCACAGTTCTCATATTCACAGTAATTGCCGTCACTTACCAACCACCAGATCCATGGCTTGAATCTGCTCCAGCTCTCACCAAACTCCTAACCGAAACCGAAAACGCAATTTTCAAAATCGGTGAAGATATGCTTCTTCTTCTCCGGTTTTAGCTCCGGCGGTGCAAGTTACGGAGGCGACGATTGAGAAATCCGAGGAGAGAATCGGGAATATGACGGTGAAGATGAGTTTAGGGTTCATAAGTTAAGAAATCTGAAATAGAAGTACCTTTACTGTGTTCCGTCGTGACGACGAGCTTCACTGTGGAAGCCGGCGACGAGCTTCACGGTGGAGGCCGGCGACGAGCTTCACGCTGGAGGCCGGCGACGAGCTTCACGCTGGAGGCTATGGCTATGTCTCAGATCCAACAAATCTCTTTCTTCGACTTGGGATTTTTTTTTTTCTTTTTTGGTAATATGTTTTATTTTGTGGTAAAGTGAAGGGTTTTAATTTTTGGACTTTGGCGTTTTAAGTTTTTGGATCTAAAACATAAGGCGCTTAAGTGAATTATTTCGCCTAAGTATTGGCGGAACGAGTGATTTTAGCTTTCTATTTGGTGATTTTCTATTTTAGCGTTGTTTCAGTGCTATTATATATAATTCAAAACAAAAACTTATCTTTCATAGCAGTTACGTAAAATGAGCTATCATCATGTGTTATCAATGTGGATATTTCTTGTAGTGACTCATAGGACTTCGGCCACACCTACAAAGATTTGAGAAGCAATAAGAAGCTTGGTTAGTGTTTTTGGAGTCAAATATGACTAGATCTCGTGTTTATGAGTGGGTATAAGAACTAGAACCGCAACCGGATCCCAAAAGCTAAAGTAGTGTTTTTCTGTTTAGAAGCTCCAAAACCGAAAACTCATAGGACTTCAGCCACACCCACAAAGATTTGAGAAGCAATAAGAAGCTTGGTTAGTGTTTTTGGAGTCAAATATGACTAGATCTCGTGTTTATGATTGGGCATAATAACTAGAACCGCAACCGGATCCCAAAAACTAAAGTAGTGTTTTTTCCGTTTAGAGGCTCCAAAACCGAAAACTCATAGGACGTCGGCCACACCCACAAAAATTTGAAAAGCAATAAGAAGCTTGGATAGTGTTTTTGGAATTAAATATGACTAGATATCGTGTTTATGATTGGGTATAATAACTAGAACCGCAACCAGATCCCAAAGGCTAAAGTAGTGTTTTTCCGTTTAGAAGCTCCAAAATAGAAAACTCATAGGACATCGGCCACACCCATAAAGATTGGAGAAGCAATAAGAAGCTTGGTTAGTGTTTTTGGAGTCAAATATGACTAGCTCTCGTATTTATGATTGGGTATAAAAACTAGAACCGCAACCGGATCCCAAAAGCTAATGTAATGTTTTACCGTTTTGAAGCTCCAAAACCTAAAACTCATAGGACGTCGGCCACACCTACAAATATATGAGAAGAAATAAGAAGCTTTGTTAGTGTTTTTGGAGTGAAATATGACTAGATCTTGTGTTTATGATTGGGTATAATAACTAGAACCTCAACCGGATCCCAAAAACTAAAGTAGTGTTTTTCCGTTTAGAGGCTCCAAAACCAAAAACTCATAGGACGTCGGCCACACCCACAAAGATTTGAAAAGCAATAAGAAGCTTGGTTAGTGTTTTTTGAGTCAAATATGACTAGATCTTGTGTTTATGATTGGGTATAAGATCTAGAACCGCAACCGGATCCCATCAGAGGAAGTTCAGACTTAGAAGAGAAACACGGAAGGGATATGAAGGCAATGAATGACAAGCTGGACAAGCTACTCCTTGTGCAACAGAAGCAAGTCCATTTTCTCTGTGACGATGAAACGTTCCAAGTCCAGGATGGGGAGACTCTCCAGTCAGAAGAGGTCAGCTATGTGCAAAATCAGGGAGGCTACAACAAAGGTTTCAACAACTTTAAGCAGAACAATCCCAATCTGTCCTACAGAAGTACCAATGTTGCAAACCCGCAGGCCCAAGTCTACCCTCCACAGCAGCAGAATCAACCCAAACCCCTTGTTCCATACAACAGGGTCAAGGGTTTGTTCCTAAGCAATAGTATCAGGGAAGCTATCAACCGCAACATCCACCACCTGGGTTCGCACAATAGCAACAACAAGCTTCCACAACTCCAGACTAAGACTTGAAGAACATGCTCCAGCAGATTCTCCAGGGACAAGCAACAGGAGCAATATATTTGGCTAAAAAGATGGTTGAAATCCACAACAAGGTTGATTGCACTTTTAATGATCTCAACATCAAGATTGAAGCACTGATGTCTAAGGTGCGATACATGGAAGGCCAAACTGGGTCGACCTGTGCTCCCAAACTTACAGGACTTCCAGAGAAGTCAATCCAGAACCCGAAGGAGTATGCCACCGGAAACACCATTACTATCTGCCATGATCGAGAGCTGCCAACTCGCCATACCCCTAAAACACTCACTAGGACAGTGAAGTTCAGGAAGGGGAGGCTTCTAATCGGATTGAAGTCTCAGTTATTGAACTAAACCATTCAGCTGGATCCCGCCATCAAATTCAGTCCACCGTGGAAGAGAGAGTAGCTATGATTGAGAGAATGGTAAATCGGTTCAAGCCAACTCCATTACCTCCACTTGTTCTTCTAGGGAAGTTCAGGAAAGCTTGGAAAGAGAAGTATGAGTCTCTTGTAGAGGAACAACTCGATGGGATCGAAGTGGTGAAGCCGTTAATAGAAGTTCTCAAGTTGATTCCAGACCCTCACAAAGACGTGAGATATTTAATACTGGAAAGGATCAAGAGGTATCAGGATTAAGATGATGAATACGACGCCACTCCGTTCCAAGCTGCTGGTGAAAAGATTTTTCAAGAAAAGTTGGGAGATCCTGGATCTTTCACTCTGCCGTGCTCCATTAGGCATTTAGCTTTCAACAATTGCCTATGTGATCTAGGAGCTTCAGTCAGCTTAATGCCGCTTTCTGTGGCAAAGAAGCTGGGATTCGTTCAGTACAGGCCTTGTGACCTAACCTTGATTCTTGCTGATAGGAGTTCAAGGAAACCTTTTGGCCTGTTAGAGGATCTGCCTGTAATGATCAATGAAGTAGAAGTGCCTACCGACTTTGTTGTGCTTGAGATGGATGAAGAATCTAAGGATCCTCTGAGTTTAGGAAGACCTTTCATGGCCTAAGTAGGAGCGATGATAGATGTTAGAAATGAGAAAATGGATCTCAACCTTGGGAGGCATATCAAGTTGCAATTTGACATCAACAGAACTCCAAGAAGGTCAACAATAGAGGGAAAGACCTTTGAAATCCGAAGAGCGGTTTCAAAAGAAGGATTTGAGGTTGCAAAAGTAAAGGAACCCGGTTGGCTAGAACTCAAAAGAAAGTCTGACCTCCAAGAGAGAACAATACGGAAGCTAACCTGCACTGTCGAAGAGCTTAGAAGCACACTAAGTCGAATTCAAGGAGGAGTTCAACCACAACTCAACATTGACATCACTTCAAGAGAGGATGCTGACATCACTTAAGTCCTTTCTGTCACACTTTCCCTGCCTAATAAGTGTGAGGAGTCAAGCTAGAGACTTAAAACAAGCTCACTTGGGAGGAAGTCCCATGTATATCCTGTACATATTTTTTTATTTTTCCTTGTTGTTTTTGATGCATTTTGCTAGTATCTTCAAGAGATAAGTGTAAAGAGCTGAGTGAAGTGGATTCTAGTTCTGAGTACAGAGCAGTATACTCGACCACAGAGCGGTATACTCGACCACAGAGCAGTATATTCGACCTTGTTTTGGACTTTCATCACGCCAGAAGATCACTCGACCGCGGCGCTGGCCGCAACAGAGGAAATGAGGTCGAGTACCCACGCGGTGCTGGAGCCGAAACTGAAGAAGGAGATTCTTCAATGGCCTGGCATGAATCACAGGCGGGCATTGATGATCATATCTGCTCCTTCTTCCACTGAAGTAAGTACCTCACTTCACCATTGTTCAATACTATCTCCTGTTTTTGTTTTTGTGTTGTGTTTGTCCTGAGTACTCTCTTGCAAATTTAGTCACACAGAGGACTGTGTGACTTAAGTTTGGGGGATGGCTCAGGATGTATCTGATGTGTTTGCTTTGTTCTTATTTTTAAATTTTTGCATTGTACATACTCTTGAGTCTGCATGCATATATGTCACTGAAAAAGCCTAAAAATTTGAAAAATTTCTGAAAATGTATTCCACAAAAACAGAGTGTTCATGTAGTTGCATTACATTTAGGATCGAGTACCTACAAGAAAAACTGTCTATAGCTACAATTTTTTTTGTATCTATGCCCCAAATTCCGTGGCTATTTTGATTATAGCTTCGGAAAGCCACAAAAAAAACTTGTGTCTATAGCGTTGTAGCTATTTTTCTTCGTTGCTATTCGTGGACTCGTAGCCACAAATTAGTCACAATAAACTTTGTGGCATATAGCCACTAACTTACCACAATCAAATTTGTGTCTATTATAGCCACGAAATGCCAGAAACTTTGTTGTGTCTAATAACTATGGATTGCCACGAATAACCACACACAAAATTTGTATCTATATAGATTTGTAGCTAATTTATATTGTGGTTTTCCGTGGCTACTAAAAAAAGAAAAACAAAAAAAAAACAAATTATTTTTAATTAATTAAAAATGAATATTTGTATTAATTGGTTAAGAGTTACAGAATTGAACCGGTAACAACATGCCGGTTCAACCGGAAGCTAAAATCAACAAAAAAAAACCCTAATCACAACAAAGGAGGTCCTCGCCGCCGCAACCAGAATCTGTTCGCCGACAAGCCTCGACGTCGGCGTCAACCTGTGGAAGGGAAGAACCGGCACTCCACTAGCGGCACTACTCACCGAACCGCCAGACGATTTCCCCCACGGATCTAGACTTTAGATAGCTACAGTGGCTTTTCATCTAACCTTCTCCTAAGACTTCCGCCGCCCTGAAACAGAAGCTCAGCCCAGATCCAGCCTTAAATACTGCCCATACGGCCTAAGAAGAAGAAGCAATAGGTTAGTTTACTTATCTACGAGTTAGATTGTAGGAAAACAAAAATCTTTGAATAACATCTTACCGTAGATCTTGTAATCATAATGTTTGTTTGATACTTCTCTTTGATGTTTTTGAAGTGAGTTCTCAGCTTCTCCAAAAACACACTAGAAAATCTTATTCGTCGCTTGCTGCAATGGTCTCGCTTGTCGCTGCTGGGATCTAATGAAGTGAACGAAGGAGAAGGAGAAGGAGAAGGAGAAAGAGAAAGAGAAAGAGAAAAAAGAGGAGAACTTTTGACCAACAAAAGAGAAAAGAAAGAAAAGATTTCATCCGTTGGATTTAATCTAATCAATGGTAGATAATAAGACAAAGTCTAATCCTTGTCCCTATGGATTACCCAATAAGAAGCCTTCACTTCTTTGTTTTGGTAAATTTTGGTTTTACAGTTTTGATTTATTTTTTAAGTATGTGTATTATTAAGTTAAAGGTTTTGACTTTATAATACAAGGTTTCAAACTTAAGTTTTAGTAATTTGGAATTGGAATTTTAATTTTGAATATATGTAATAATAGAATTGTTGGTTTAGAGATTTAAATTTAAAAGGAAATAATTTCTAGAAGTATTTTATGTAAAGTACCTATGTAAATAATTTTCAATATTATTTTTATGCATATATATAATGTTTATAATTTCATTTTATGGTTTATGATTTAATTTCTATGATTAAAAATTTAAGGTTTAAAGTTTAGAGTTTGGAGTTTGGTCAGGTTTGTGGTATAGGGTTTAAAGTTAAGATATAAGGTTATGGTTACGTTTTGAAAATAAGATTTTTCATAATTATTACATCTTAGTTTTAGGGTACATTACTATACACCATAGTAATTAATTTATTTTTGGTGAGTTTAGGGTTTTAGGGCTTGTCTTTGGGTTTAGAGTTTCGTATAGCCATGGATAAATATGTGGTAAATTTGTGGCTATCTTAATAAAAAAAAATGAAATAGCCACTACAAATTTGTGGATTATCCGTAGCTATTAAGCCACGACTTAGCCACGAATTACATTCGTGGCATTAATAGCTACAATTTAGCCACGATTTTTTTTTGTGGCTAAATAGCTACGGTTTAGCCACAACATGGCTACGAACTGGCCACGACATAGTTTTGTGTCTGATTTGTGGCTAAAATAAACTAGCTACAAACTTTTTGTGACTATTTTGTGGCTTTGGACAGTTTTTCTTGTAATTTCATTTAGGATTGTTGCATATGCATAGGGGACAATGAGGAGATATCCTTGTAAGCATGTTGATTTACTAGATAAACTCAATGCCCTCGTTATTAGTTGTCTGATGCATATGATTGACTTTGAAGTAAGACCGCACCATGTTCTATTAAAACCACTCGATCGCATGTCATGATACCATTCCCTATCAACTTGAACTTGAATCTGATTTGTAATTATTATGTTTGCATCGGTTTTGAACTCATGGATAGAATATATACTTGAATTTTCTTTCACCTATTCACCACTCTTGTTAATCCAAGTAGTTGTTTCCTTTATCGGAGTAGTTCCCACACCCTTAACCAACTTTTCTTTCAAGCCTTGTTATTTCTTGTGTGCATGTGAGGCCTATTTCGGGATTGAGCTTGGTAGAACGTGTTAGGTTTGAGCCGACAAGAGTAGTATCTCATGTAGTTCCAATCCGCGTTTTCGGACTTGGTAGGACTAGGTGGGAACTTATTTGGGGATTCAGATTGAGTGTGAAAAAAAAAAAAAAATGGGTTAGAGTCTCTAGGAGAAGGAAGCTGAAAATCATATTCAGGTCTAGTGAATGTTTGGGAAGCATAGAATTGTTAAGTTATGCTCTAAAAAAAGATGGCAACAAAAACGTAAAAGATTATAAGAGCCATAAGAGTTTAAGAAAAAGCCCAATTCACTAGACTAGACTCATAGAGTACAAGAAAAACTTCTCCTTAAGAACAAGAGCCAAAGAAAAGAAAGGATAACTTGATCCAAGAAAGAATCGAAATATGCCTTTAGTGCAAAAGGGTAGACTTAGGATCATCAATGAGTTTAGAAATAGGACCATCTACTTGTTATTCACGGTTTATGTCATTGGGTAGATGGGGTGCTATTCTTGTATGCATAGGTTGGCACTTACCTTTAGCATTCTTTTAAAGCTCAGTCCATTTTCATTGAGAGTCCCATGTTATTAATATCTGAACCACCTTAAAGGGACCTTCTTGTCTCATAACTTAACCCGTCCTTAGCCAAATGAGTTCACTAACGATGCATAGCTTGATTCAAGTTTTTGAACTTAATGAATGTTAAAGGGATTGGTTGATCTTGACGCATTATGCAATCGAGTGTAGGTTTGGATCATAACAGAGCATGGCTAAAGTTTTTAAGTAGAAGTCGATCACTTCGCATCTTAGAACTATTAACTTGGACATTGAGCTTAATTACTTTATCACATGCTTTGGTTCTGAGTCCCCAACTTCAAACCTCTCCTTCCGCTTATGTCTTCTTGTTTGCTTGAGGGCAAGCAAAGACTAAGTTTGGGGGAGTTGATATGTCTATAATTTGCATGATTTAAGCATTCATTCTTCATTACTTTGTCATCGTTTCATCCACATTTCATCTCATCAGTAGTAGTTTTAGTGTGTTTTACATACTTAGGACGGTTTTGCATTAGGATTGCATGTGCATTGCATATTTGGTTGTTTTCAATTACTTTGGATGCTTTTGGAGTTCAAACAGAGCAGAAACGGAACAGAAAGTCAGAACGCTCAATCATGCCTTCAGCAAAAGCACTCGATCGCAACCTCAAAACCCCAAAAGGGCAAAATCACACGATCACCACTCTATCGCAGAGCCAGAGATATCATCACCAAACCACTTTATCGCAGAGCCAGAGATATCATCATCAGTTTCACTCAATCGCGAAGCCGGAGGAATTACCCACTCTATACCACTCGATCACCAGTGGTCACCAGGAAGCCCATCTACTCATTCTTCACTCAACCAGACAAGCTGAGAATACGGAAGAGAAGAGAAGCTGATGAAACCACTCGATCACCACCTCATGACATCTACTCGATCGCACCACTCGATCGCAGGGTCGCTGGACCATTCCATCTCGTCTTCACTCCAGACCACTCGATCGCAAGGCGGAGTTCCTGAAGCCCAGTTTGATCAATGACATACTCGATCACAGGGACGCCCATTTCAGCCCATCAGATGCTCGATCTGTAATTCTACAATCTTTCTGTTTTCTGCATGATCACTTAGAACTGTTACAAACCCAAAATCTGTATTTGCTTGGCTTGACTTAGTGACTTCGGATAAAATCTCATCTGTTTGCATCACACCTAAAGTGGATTGACAAACTAAAATACTACAACGACATGATAGTGCTTTAGGAAAATTGATACCTAAAAATATATTATCACCAGCTATGAGAGAAGCACCAGAGGTGAATGCTCCATAGCGGGGCGGACCTAAAATGGTAGAACCGCCTCAGCACCAGCCACCGTCACCGCCACCGCCACATCCTATGCAGGCTAATCCTATGCATGTCCATGGGTAAGGAACGACGTACTTGGATGCTATCAGATATCTCAAGGACGTGAGTATGGAGTTCTTTGATGGGAAATATGATCCCGTTTCTGCTGATAACTGGAGAAAAAAATAGGAAAGGAATCTTGACAATGTTCAGTGTCCGCAAGAGTACCGTAAGGAGTTAGCAGTTCAGTACCTAAAGGATGAAGCTCAGGTATGGTGGGATAAGGTTGTAGCTCAGTGATAGTAGGATTTTACTCAATTCAAGTATCAATTCCTAATACACATGCCATTGTAGTATATTAGGTTTATCAATCCAATCTAAGTGTGACTACAAGCATTTAAGATATGAAACAGAAAGCAATATTTGTTATTGTTTTATGATGTTTTAGGAAGTGTGTGGAGTGATTTCAAGGCTAAAGAGGAGATAATCAAGTATTTATGAAGCCAAGAAGGTTTTAGGAGTTTCTAAGCAAAATGGACCAAAAGACGAGCAAAACCCGTTTCAGGACAGATTCGAAGCTCCAGAAGTTAGGCATCCGTTGGAGGCCTTCCCGTGAAGTAAATTCGGAGATCTTGGACTCTATGATAAGCGGGAAGAGTCAAGATTACAATGGAGGAAGAATCAACTCAATCCCAGCTGCCAAACAGAAGTTACAGCCGATTGAAGTCAACATGTCCGAGACCGGTCGCAAGGCGTGCGACCGGTGGTGAAGCTCTTGGCTGGACCGGCCATAACACCACGTGACCGGGGTGAAGCCTCTTGTGGAGAACAGTTATGAAGCCTCATGACCGGTCCAGAATGCCTCGTCCCTGCACTTATCAAAACCTCGTCGTTTTGCCGATAAAACCCTAAACCGACTTGTTACTTCCCGAGGCCTATAAATACAAGTTAAAAACCCTAATTAGGGTTGTGTGTTTCGACCCCTATCACCAGTAGCCTCGCATAGACGACCAGAGAAGCCTCCTCACCGATCTCTCCTCCGATCTCGACTCACCGCCGCCGTTGAAGCCGCCGATCATCACCTACCTTTCTCTTCATCTCTTTTATCTGTTCTCTACTTGTTTAAGGAAGAAGAATCCTAAACTCTGGATTTCCAGAGAAGATCTCTAAACCCTTTTTCTATATTCATACTCTTTTATGCAATCTCTTATTCATATGATGTTGTGTTCTTTGAGTATGTGTGAGTAGATCTCTTGTTGGGTATAAGAATTTCAAAGGGGATTCATGGATCTGTATTCTAGGGTTTCTTAGATCTATATTTAGGTCATCTTGTTCTTCGTTCTAGGTTTGTTCTTAATGCATATTGCTTGAGTTATTAACTTGGAATTGATCTTAGGTGGTTTTATGCATCAATAGTGTATAGATCCGCGTTCACTAGCCTAGATGTGAGTATCGTGTTATAACAAGCACACAACACTTAGTTATAGGGCTTTACGAAGTATAATCGAACTCGTTAATCATGCTGGTTTAATCTCGTCGTTGCATGCGTTAGTTTAGTAACGGAGTTGTTAGACTTAGATAGTCGTTTAGTCATAAGCTAAACGGTTTTACATAAGTGTTTCGTAGTTCATGAACTGTTTAAAAAGCATAGGTTTACCTTTGTTTAAAACCCTAGAATAACCCGATCCGTGATACCCTGAGAAATCCCTGAAACCCAACTTCTCGCTTATTGATATCTTCCATCGTTTAATTAGCTTTTATTTTCTGTTTAGTTTAGTGACAACCCAAAATCCAAACACCCCTCTTTTGTTTGTCTTAGACATATTCCTTTCCACTGAATTCGTACCGTACTTATAAGTCTCTGTTGGATCGATCCTTAAATACTACATCCGATTAACTGTGCACTTGTAGTATTTCGTGTAGTCTCTAAGGGAAAGGCGAAATAAAACACGAATCAAGCTTTCTGGCGCCGTTGTCGGGGACTTAATTAAGTTACCTACGAATTTAGGACTAGGATATCATCTAGGACGTTTTTAATTTTTGTTTTTGCTTTTATTTTTCAGTTTTACTTTGAGTTTTCCTTTTTCTTTTCAGGTACTCTCGGGACTAGCCCGAATGGAGGACCACAACCACTTACCGGAGCATCTAGACGATCCACCACCGCGGAGGAACGATCGAGAAGCCGCCGGACCCGAAGGAGAGAACAATGCCGCCGGGCAGAATGAAGAGCACATTGCCGTTCATGATGGTGCTCATGAGCTGGATTACCTTGATCCGCTTATTGGTGATTTTGACGCCCCTCACTTACACTTTCAATCTCGGTCCGCCATTAACCCGACCAGACCGCAGCACGAATCTTTCAAGATTAGCCCTCAACTAATCAACTTGGTGAAAGAAAACCAATTCCATGGTTTTGCTACAGAGATACCAATCGCCCATATTGATCTTTTCGAAGAGATATGTGATACCACCAGTTCGGATGAGGAGGCTAACAACTACCGGAAGTGTAAGCTTTTCTCGTTTTCTCTTGGAGAGAAAGCAAGCAAATGGTTGAAGTCCTTACCCCAAGCATCAATCACGAATTGGGAAGATTACAAGGCTGCCTTCCTTAATCATTTCTACACCAAAACGCGGACCAACCTAGTTCGGGCCAGAATTTTGGGATTTAAACAAGGAGCCAAAGAATCATTCTACGATGCTTGGGAGCGATTCAAAGACTATGATAGAGACTGTCCTCACCACGGATACACCGAAGGTAATATGATGAATACTTTCTATAGAGGTGTTCACCATAAGTTTCGTTTTTGTCTAGATACCGCAAGTACTGGAGACTTTGCGACGAAGACGGTGGAAGAAGCCCGATCTTTGATTAGCAACCTGGCCGTGAGTGATAACAACAACCTTCTCGACCCCTCCTTGACCATGGATAAAGAAGCAATCCATCTTTCAAGATTCGATGAGCTCATGGAGATGATGAACACCGCGGTGAAGTGTTTACAAGAAGTTACTAGTTCTTCCTCGGAAGAAGATGACGATTTCTATGGTCGAGAGGAGGATGTGAATTACATGGGAGCCAGGAGAGGTTACCAAGGGAGAGTGTTCAACCAAAGTTTCCGAAACCGAGGGAGAAACACTAACCAGAGTAACTTTCGACAAAGACCTACTTTTTCTGATTTTCAGGGTTTTTAACGCGGATTTCCCAATCCAATCCCGGAGAATCAAAACCCTATCTTGGAGAATATTCACAGAGAGTGTGAATAATAAGATCCATGAGATGTACGAGGAGATCAACAACAAAGTGGTGACTCTTTCGGACAAAGTCGAAGGAATCTACAAACAAAACACGGAGACCGCTTTCATTGTGGTAACGTTTACGGAGCCTTTCATGAGGAAGTACAAGCAGCCTCTCTATGCCCACTTGAACGCCATAACACTAAGGAGTGGCCTTGCCTACAAGGAGCCCATAGACCCGAGGTACCAAGAAGAGGAGCAGCCGCTACCTCACCCTAGACCGGGTAGGAGACCCGTGACTGGTGAGGAGCAACCAGAGCCAGCCTTATCCACCAGACCGGTCACAAGCCCCGTCACCGATGGAAGAGAAGCCGCGAAGATGCCATCCAGACCGGTCACACAGCCCGTTACCGGAGGAGACCCTTCTGACCATACCGGTCACTCCACTGCCGCCGGAGGAGATGTAGCCGAAGAGCCGCTGAATCGTGAGGGAGTTATACCTACTCCTCCCTTACGACCTGAACGTGTCTATCAACCTAAGGTGCCTTACCCTAATGCCTCGAAGACTTCAAAGAAGGAAAGAGAACGAGCTAAGCTAAAAGAGCTAATCGGGCAATTAACGGTAAGACTACCTTTTGTTGAAGCTTGTGCCATGATTCCTACTCTCAGGAAGTACATGAAGAGTATATTGACCAACAACATCAGCCTTGAAGACGGAGTAATGATGATTACTCAAGATTGTAGTGCCATACTACAAAACCGGAGTCCACAGAAAAGAGGTGATCCGGGAAGTTTTGTGTTGTCATGTACTATTGGTGAAGAAGTTTTTGAGCATTGTCTATGCGATTTGGGATCAAGTATCAACATGATGCCACTATCGACCGCTAAATGCTTGGGACACCACTCTTTCAAACCGACGAAGATCTCATTAGTCCTCGCGGACCGATCTATACGTCGTCCAATCGGAGTTCTTCTAGACATTCCGATCACTATTGGAGAGTGCCAAATCCCGACAGATTTCATTGTGTTGGAAGTTGAGAAGGAACCTAAGGATCCATTGATTCTTGGTCGCCCTTTCCTCTCTACCGCAGGAGCCAATATCGATGTTCCTAATGGAAAAATCGATCTTCATCTTGGCGATTTTGTGATGAAGTTTGATATGAATGAGACGCTAAAGCAGGCCTCATCTCATAATCAAGTCTTCTCTGTTGATAAAGTGGAGGAAGCCACAAACGAGCTATGTGAAGAAATCATCCTCGACGATCCTTTGGAGATGGCTTTGACCGAAGCTAAGGACGATTATGTTTTTCTCATGGAGTCCGTGGAAAACTCGGCAGAGATCCTTGATTCAGCCGAATGTTACACGAGACTTGTAGCATATCTCGATCTAGACGAGGAGAGCAGCCAACCCGCGCCTCCTAAGGACACGCCGTCCGATGTAGCTAATCGTTGGAGTGAGCTAAGAGCCCCGAAAGTGGAGCTCAAGCAACTCCCTATTGGGCTAAGGTACGCTTTTCTTGGCCCTAATTGTACTTATCCTGTTATCATTAACTCTGGTTTAGATAGCAAGGAGACCACTATGCTCCTCTCCGAGCTGAGGAAGCATAGGAAGGCATTGGGATATTCTCTTGAAGACATTCCAGGTATATCCCCAGACCTTTGTATGAACATGATTCACCTTGAAGAAGGAGCAAAGAACTCGATCGAGCATCAAAGGAGGTTAAACCTTGTGAAGAAGGAGATCATGAAGCTGTTGGAAGCCGGAATCATATACCATATCTCGGATAGTACATGGGTAAGCCCTGTCCATGTCGTCCCGAAGAAAGGAGGAGTAACTGTCATCAAATCCGACAATGACGAGCTTATTGCAACAAGAACGATCATAGGTCACCGAATGTGTATCGACTACCGGAAGCTCAGTGCCGCGACTAGAAAGGACCACTTTCCTTTACCCTTCATCGATCAAATGCCGTTCGGACTATGCAACGCCTCTGCAACCTTCCAGCGTTGTATGATGTCGATCTTTACGGAGTATATTGAGGACTTCATGGAGGTTTTCATGGACGACTTCTCGGTCTATGGTTCATCGTTCGAAGCTTGCTTGGCGAACCTCGGGAAAGTCTTACAAAGATGTGAAGATAAACATCTGGTTCTCAATTGGGAGAAATGTCATTTCATGGTGAGAGATGGCATAGTTCTCGGACATCGAATCTCGGAGAAAGGAATAGAAGTCGATAAGGCAAAGATCGAGGTGATGATGAGCTTGCAGCCGCCCACCAACGTGAGAGGAATAAGGAGTTTCCTCGGTCATGCCGGCTTCTACAGACGATTCATTCAAGACTTCTCCAAAAATGCAAGGCCGCTTACACGTCTCCTGTGTAAAGACGTGGAGTTTGAATTCGATGAGGAGTGTCTTGTTGCCTTTCAAAAGATCAAGAACGCACTAGTCTCAGCCCCCGTCGTGCAACCGCTGGATTGGGAGCTGTCCTTTGAGATTATGTGCGATGCCAGTGACTATGCCGTTGGAGCAGTTCTCGGGCAAAGAAAAGATAAGAAGCTGAACGTGATTTACTATGCGAGCAGGACCTTGGACGAAGCTCAATGCAACTACGCAACCACGGAGAAGGAGCTTCTCGCCATTATCTTTGCTTTTGAGAAATTTCGATCTTATCTTGTAGGATCAAAGACGATCGTTCACACGGACCATCCGCCATTAGATATCTAATGTCTAAGAAGGATGCAAAACCGCGCCTTATAAGATGGATTTTCTTATTACAAGAGTTTGATATCGAAGTAAGGGACCGGAAAGGAGCTGACAATGGAGTTGCCGACCACCTTTCCCGTATGAGAATCGACGAGCCGATACCTCTAGACGATAGCCTACCCGAAGAGAACGTGTATGTGATCGATACCGTTCCTATCGGAGGAGTTCCAGCCCCGCCTCAACAGCGTGTAGCACGATTCAAGAGCTACGATACCCCTTGGTTCCGGTATTACGCAAACTACCTTGCTGCAGATGTGGTACCACCGCAATTCTTTGGTTACAAAAAAAAGAAGTTCTTGCGAGAAGTAAAGAGATACTATTGGGACGAGCCCTATCTCTAAATGGGTGGAGGCTATACCAAGCGCCACCAATGATGCGAGCGTGCTGGTCAAGATGTTTAAGAACATCATATTCCCACGATTTGGAGTCCCGAGAGTGGTGATAAGCGATGGAGGTCGCCACTTTGTTAATGCCACAATGAAAGCTCTTTTCAAGAAGAATGGAGTGGTACACAAAGTATCTTCCCCATATCATCCACAGACGAGTGGACAAGTTGAAATCTCTAACCGAGAAATCAAGACCATCTTGCAAAAGACCACCAATAGGTCGAGTGATTGGGCAACAAAACTTGACGATGCTCTTTGGGCGTACCGAACCGCCTACAAGACACCTTTAGGTACGACTCCTTTTTATTGTGTTTACGGGAAAGCTTGTCATCTTCCCATTGAGTTGGAATACAAGGCCGCATGGGCCGTAAAGGAGTTGAACTTCAATCTAAAGACTGCTGCCGAGCGACGTTTAATCCAACTAAACGAGCTCGATGAGATTCGCCACAATGCCTACGAGAATTCGCGGATCTACAAGGAGAGAACCAAGGCGTACCATGACAAGAAGATCGTTCGGAAGTCATTCGCGCCTAATGATCAAGTTCTACTCTTTAACTCTCGACTTAAGCTTTTTCCAGGTAAGTTAAGATCAAGATGGTCCGGCCCGTTCCGAGTCAAGGAAGTGAGGCCGTACGGAGCTGTTGTTCTCTTGAGCAACCAAGGAAAGGAGTTCGTCGCAAATGGGCAGCGACTTAAGCCCTACTTTCCTCAGATCGGTAAAGATGCCGTCCCAACCGTCCCAACAAACGTCCCGTACCGCAGCTGCCCAGCGGTCAATCAACAACCCCTCCCGAACACGATCCGCAATCGTACCGATGGCGATTTGCATCAACTCACCCTGCGACCCGCGTCTAAACCGCGACCCGCAACACATATTTCTTTCCGGCTAGTCATTAGAACTGTGACTGGTGCCCTGATGGAAAAGAAATTGGCCTCACGGCCTACCCAAGGTAAGTTTTTCTTTTTGTCTAAATTTCATAAAACTATTGATGGTTTTAGGTTTTCGTATCAGGAAAGATGCATCTAAAGATTTATATCTCCAATTTCGATTAACTTACACAAGTTACATCGAATACAAGTAAGTACTGAAGAAGAATATACGGTTAGTCGCCACACCAAGGTGACATTGTTCTTGACCCTATCTTTCTTTTTCTTACTCTTCCCTTACTATTTTTCCCACCGAGGACGGTGTGATTTAAGTCTGGGGGATTCGTACTAATGCTACTCTTTATTTGTTGACCTGAGAACTTTTTCCATTTTTACATCAAGAAATTTTAGGGAATCAAGACTTTTTATCGAGTCAAAGTTTTATTGAGTCAAACCAGTAGGGAATGATGATCTTGTCATATGATGAAACCGACCGTTCATATGTTCTAACTCATTTCCTAAGTGACAAGTTTTGCAGGACTCGCTAAGAGCGGACAATACCTAGAAACTGTCAATGGGATCTTTCCCCCTGAAGTCTCTACCGGGGAGATTTTGTTTTATTGGAAGTTAACTCTATTTTATTTGGATGATTTAACCTGAACTTAATTCTTTCTCATGAAGAGGTGTTAGATCGGGGAAACGAGCATATACATTCAGGACTTCTTATCCCTTTTTACCACTCTCTGCTGATCCTGAATGGCCACTCACTTTTAGTGGTTCCTACCTTAAAACCCTATCCTCTTTTCAAACCTCATGCATTCTCTTTTTCCTTTTCTCATTTTAGCAGCTATGTGCAAAAACGTCGGGGAGAAAGGAATGACACAGTTTCCCGCCACAAAGACGGAGATTTGGAATCTACAGGAGGATGTGATGATTTGGTCTAGAGCTTATTCTTCCTTGGGATTCGATTTTAAAAGGTATTTATTTCTTATGAGACTCGTGTATATAATGAGTACCGCTTCCCCTTTCAAAAAAAAAAAAAAAAAAAAAACCCGAAAGGAAAGGAAGCGGTTACAAATAAGAAGTCTTATAAGTACAGAGAAATCCCAAGGAAAGACATGGATCACCTAGAGGAGAGATGGAATCATTCACAAAGATCCCCGCAGAAAAGCCTAAGTCTGGGGAAATCGAAAAGACGAAAAGAAGTAAGGAGATGAGGTGTTTACAAGAAGAAGTGGTTGGAAACTGTGGACCTTAACAGATCCGTTCTCTCTTGCGGTTTTGCGACATATCCTGCATTCTCGAGATTATACGGTAACCCTAAACACTTTAACTCCACCACCAAACACCAAAAAGCCCCTTTCATACCAAGCGCCGTCTACCCTGAATGACGCCTCCGATTGAGAAAGTCCACGCCACCTTATTAATGAACATAGAGAGTTAACTAACGTGATTTCAGAGTTCCCTTGTAGGTTTGAGACGGATGGACCAGGATTGTGAATGTGGTGAGTCTATAGTGAGAATGTTCTAACGCGATGTCTTAGTACTTATGAGTCCGCAGGTTATCTTTTGGAACATGGTCTCTGATAACTCAAGGATTCAGCAGGAAAAACGATTACAAAAACTATGGTTTAGAGAGAACATCGGAAATACCAGTGGTAAAAGGAATCTCCTGGATAAAAGGGTGAACCCCTATTTATAGAAAAATACTTCCCCTGCGTAATAAGTGTGAGGAGTCAAGCTAGAGACTTAAAACAAGCTCACTTGGGAGGAAGTCCCATGTCTATCCTGTACATATTCTTATTTTTCCTTGTTATTTTTGATGCATTTTGTTAGTGTTTTCAGGAGATAAGTGTAAAGAGCTAAGTGAAGTGGATTCTGGCTCTAAGTATGCAATTCACTCGACCACACCCTGCAAGGAGGATAAGAAGCTGTGATCGAGTATAATCGGGGTTTCAGTCTCAAAATTTCTGAAGTTTCAACATTTCACTCTATCACGCAAGGTCTCATGCTGGTGAAGAAATGTGGTCGAGTATGGGAGTCGATGAGCCCAAAATTTCAAAAAATTCAACATTATACTCGACCAACAGAAGCTACAGAGACTTACAGAGGCTTAGATGAGTTTACAGAAGGTTGAGGAGATTCTGGGATTTTTCCAGGAAAAAGTGCTTACAGACAAGGAATCAGGCGCGTGGCCCACCACCACATCCTTTGTCTCCCTCCCACGTTTTTGAAAGGATAAGGCTATCTCCACCACTCCTTCCCGATCCCACTCTCACCGACACTCACTTCTCTACCACTCACTTTTCACTCTCGTCTCTCATCTCTCATCTCTCTCGTCTCACACACTCGACCATCACATACCGAAAGAACAATAAGCTTCACTCGACCACGACTCTCGCAACCGACCACCGTCGCCTTCTCCACTGCACTCGACCCCTCCCTTACTCGACCATAACTCTCGCTAAACCACCAACTCGCCATCGACTTCTCTCGTTTCCTATCCACCACTCGACCACAAAGCCAAGAACTCGACCGTTTCACCGGAGAAGAAGAAGAAGAAGTACTCGACCTCTTCTTGCTTTCACCCTCTGACGCGCCGCCGATTTCGTCATCTCCTCCACTCGATTTCAACCAAGCAACCTCCCTTATCTCGCCACCACTCTTTCCACAGCTTCACTCGACCACGGAGAAGAAGACGACCACTCGACCGCAAGCTTCTAATCACTTTCGCCACCGTCTCTCTCTCTATTCCACCTCTACTCGACCGACACATCAGCTTCTTCTCCATCTTCACTCGAATTCATCATTTCGCTTCACCGGCGAAATCACTCGACCACCAAGACAACAAAGCTGAATCACTCGGGGAAGAAAGTACTTGATCGCAACAAACCGGAGAAACATAACCGGTCACTCGACCGCACTGTGTGCCACCAGTGGAGAAGCGACACTCGACCATACCAAACCAGTTTAGTTGATTTCAAACAAAAACTGGTTATTTTCAGAAAGTGATTGCATTTCTAAATTGGTGTTTGCTTCGTTGGAACTAACGTATTAACGTTTAGCTTTGAGTTCTATCTCGTTTCAGGATTTGCAATGAGTAACGCCACTGGAGGACCGTCTATATCTGTAGATGAGGACTACAACGTCAATGAAGTTGAATCCTGGTCCACTAGACCACAGAGGGAAGAGCAAGCTTACGAGAGTTTCAGAGCTGAAATGGAACGCTCAGCGGCTGAACAGAGTCAGAGAAGAGCTGAGATCGCTAGAGGAAAAAGAGCGATGACTGGAAGATACGAGTTGGTTGATGAGGACTCTGAGGGAGAATATGTGCCGGAGCAGCAGTACAGAGAGACAAAGCTACTGAACAAGCTTGATGAGTTCACAGCAGAGGAGTATATCAGACTCTTAAAGCTGAACGACTTCATGGGGACGAGATATCCCTGTTCTGAGACGTTAGCCAAACTGGGGCTACTTGAGGACGTTCAGTACCTGTTTGAGAAGTGTCACCTGGAGACTCTCATGTCATACCCGTATGTTGCCTTCAAGAAGGAAACGATTCACTTTCTCTCCACACTGCAAGTGGAGCTGTATCAGAGCCTGACAGAGGATGAGCTGGAGAGAGAGGGATTGGGGTTCTTCACGTTTTCAGTGGAAGAGCAGAGCTATCAATTGTCAATCCAGCGTTTGGAGGGATTTTTTGGTTTCCCTAGTGGAAAGGGAACCAAACCCAAGTTTGAGAGACAGGAGTTGAAGGATTTGTAGCTTACTATCGGGAACAATATACCTCTGAACTCTGCGCGGTCCAAAAGCAACCAAATCCTAAGCCCTGTGATTCGCTACTTCCAGCGCTCTGTAGCGAATGTTCTTTATTCGAGAGAATCTGCAGGCACGGTGCCTAACACTGACATGGAGATGATAGATTCGGCGCTCACAGGTATTCTCCGTCAAACAAAGAACGGGACAATTCTGAAAGGTGACCTCAATAACGCGCCTCCAGTGATACTTCTCCTGGTCCACCTGTGTGGATACAAGCAGTGGGCGGTAAACAAAAACAAGAAGAGAGTGCGAGGAGCACTATGTGTAGGTGGTGTAGTGACACCAATTCTGATAGCATGTGGAGTGCCCATCACGTCTACAGGGAAAGACGCGAGGGCTATTGGTTTTGAGCATCTGCGCCGCATTGAGTTTCTAGAGCATGGCATGGTTGGTGAGTTCTATCACTACAGGTTCGAGCATCCATTGAGCAAAACCGCCAACATTCTTCTTCCTTGCCCTGAAGCTACGAGTATACTCGCGGGAGAAAACATCGACTTCGAGCCTGCGTTCGAAGATCTTTATATCGAGTTCACTCAACCGATGGAAGAAGATGCTCCTGCACCTGATCCTGCAGAAGATGAGATTGATGACATGGATGTGGACAGGGATGAGGAGTATGATACGAGCATGTATCACTTTGGTGAGCATGTGCCGCCATCTAGAGAGAGCAAGAGCCTGAGTGAAGCTCACAGACACAACAGCCAGTTGCAGAAGTGGTGCAAGAAATAGGATAAGAAACAGGAGCCTGAGCCGAGTCAGCGCAGGCCTGAGCCCAGTGAGCAGGGAGTCTCACATGTCCCTGCGAGGCATTCATCACATGAGCCTCAAGAACACAAGAGGAGAAAGAAGGTTGCACTCTCTCGCTCCAACAGCACAGCGCGGCTTATCCGCTCCAGGAGATCACTCGACCGCGGTGCTGGCCGCAGCAGGAGGAATGAGGTCGAGTACCCACGCGGAGCTGAAGCCGCAACTGAGCAGGGAGATTCTTCAATGGTCTGGCAGGAATCACAGGCAGGCATTAATGATCACCTCCGCTCCTTCTTCCAATGAGGTAAGCATCTCACTTCACCATTGTTCAATACCATCTCCTGTTTTTGTTTTTGATTTTTGTGATGTGTTTTGTCCTGAGTACTCTCTTCCAAATTTGGTCACACAGAGGACTGTATGATTTAAGTTTGGGGGAGGGCTCAGGAAGTGTGTGAACTGATGAGTCTTTTCTTTTCTTATTTTCAAATTTTTGCATTGTACATAATCTTGAGTCTGCATTCATCTAAGGCATAGAAAAACCATAAAAATTTGAAAAATTTCTGAAAATGTATTCCACAAAAACAGAGTGTTCATGTAGTTGCATTACATTTAGGATCGAGTCTAGAACGTTTCATTTAGGATTGCTGCATATGCATAGGGGACAATGAGGATATAGCCTTGTAAGCATGTTGATCTCAATGCCCTCGTTATTAGTTGTCTGATGCATATGATTGACTTTGAAGTAAGACCGCACCATGCTCTATTAAAACCACTCGATCACATGTCATGAACCATTCCCTATCAACTTGAACTTGAATCTGACTTATAATTATCATGTTTGCATCGTTTTTGAACTCATGGATAGAATACATACTTGGATTTTCTTTCACCTGTTCACCACTCTTGCTAATCCAAGTAGCTGCTTCCTTTATTGGAGTAGTTCACATACCCTTAACCAACCTTTCTTTCAAGCCTTGTTATTTCTTGTGTGCATGTGAGGCCTATTTCAGGATTGAGCTTGGTAGAACGTGTTAGGTTTGAGCCGACAAGAGTAGTATCTCATGTAGTTCCAGGCCACGTTTTTGGACTTGGTAGGACTAGGTGGGAACTTATATGGGGATTGCTATTGAGTGTGAAAAAGAAAAGAAAAGAAACGGGTTAGATTCTTTAGGAGAAAGAAACTGGAAATTATGTTCAGGTCTAGTGAATGTTTGGGAAGCATAGAATTGTTAAGTTATGCTCTAAAAAATGGCAACGAAAACATAAAAAAAAAATGAATGATAAGAGCCATAGAGTTTAAGAAAAACCCAATTCACTAGACTAGACTCATAGAGTTTAAGAAACACTTCTCCTTAAGAACAGAGCCAATAGAAAAGAAAAGATGAGTTGATCCGAGAAATAATCGAAATACGCCTTTAGTGCAAAAGGGTAGACTTAGGTTAATCATGGGTTTAGAGTTAGGACCATCTACTTGTTATTCACTGTTTATGTCATTGGGTAGATGGGATGCTATTCTTGTATGCATAGGTTGACGCTTACCTTTAGCATTCTCCTAAAGCTCATTCCCTTTTCATTGAGAGTCCCCTGTTATTGAAAGTTTAACCACCTTAAAGAGACCATCTTTGTCCCATAACCTGTCCTTAGCCAAATGAGTTCACTAACGATGTATTGCTTGATTCATGTTTTTGAACTTAAATGAATTTTAAAGGGATTGGTTAATCTTGACGCTCATTGCATTCGGGAATAGGTTTACATCATAACAGAGCATGGCTAAAGTTGTTGAGTCGAAGTCAATCGCATCGCATCTTAGAACTAATAACTTGGACATTGAGTTTATCTACTATATCTTATGTTTTGGTTCTGAGTCCCCAACTTCAAACCTCTCCTTCCTGCTATGTCTTCTTTTTTGCTTGAGGGCAAGCAAAGACTAAGTTTGGGGGAGTTGATGTGTCTATAATTTGCATGTTTACTGCATTCATTCATCATTGTTTTGAGTCTAGTTTCATGACATTCATAACTGTTTCATATCATTCTTCATCATTCTTGCATAATTTGCATGATTAGGATAGGTTTGCATACATTTTGCATTTCTGAGTTGTTTTCAGGTGATTTGGAGCTGTTGGCGATCAAATTGGAAGAAACGAGCCGGAGTCAGCAGAGCATACTCGACCATAAGGTCGAGTGCCTTATGCAGCACTTACTCGACCATGTGGTCGAGTGTAAGCAGCCACCATCCGCATCAGTCACTCGATCACACTACTCGACCATGTGGTCGAGTGACAGCAGCCATCATCTTCCTGAAGCACTCGACCACATCACTCTGCCATTCACTCGATTACGTCTTCAGAGTCTTCTCAAATCCGCACTTAACCAGACAAGCTGAGCATATGGAAGAGAAGAGGAAAAGAAGAAGTGTTTGGAAGCGGTCTGGAGTTTCACTCGATCACAAGGCCCAGCTTCGGCCCATTATCACTCCACGGGCCGATCGAGTGGATTTGCGACCCATCTCTTTGTTTTGTATAAATAAGTTTTCGAGGGTTTTATCCCGAGACATCTAGTTTTTGCTTCGAGTTTTCATTTTCTGTTAAACCTAGTTTACTCTATCGCTTAGCCGCTTTCGTCTGCAATCTTGTAATTCGAGATTTTTCCAAGTTATTCAGATTTCGCATTTGATTTCGTCTATCACCTTGTTTCTCTACTCTTTATCTCTTTACTTATGCAATCTTCTTGTTTATTCGTGATTACGTTTTTGAGCATGATGTCTGAGTAGTGAACTGTATTTCTGGGGATGGGATAGAGTAGTCGTGGTTGCCTATGTCGTTTTTAGATGGTTGAGTTTAGATTGTTTGAATCTCTTCTGGATTAGTTGCGCTTATTGCTTGTTCCTTTCTGATCAACTGGAATATGAATCCAGACATTCCCGCACCCAAAAGGTGTTTGATGGAATGTCCGATCCACTAATTCCCTAGATACTCGTCTTTATCCCAAGGGATTGGCCGTTTAGAGCGAGTATTGGCTTTAACAAGTTGATTCGATATTGCCTGCATAGTTAGAGATCGCTAATGGTGATTAGGTCTGTGTCTAGCTCTGCTTGAGGATTTGTTGCACGGTAGTGAATAAATCTGCTTTTGAACTTGTTGTCTAGGGATAGCTTCTTTGAAGTTTTGTCAACCATCTAAAGAGATTAAGGAGACCACGCTATTCGATTACTTTCATCCTTAGGAATCTCTTATCTATTTGATTTCTCTGTTTTCATTGCTATTGATTTATTGTTGTCATTGCCTGTTTTCGCATTTCTCACCTATTATCACCATTTCACTCGACCACATCCAGTGTCTGGCAACAGACTGTGTGGTAGAGTGCTTTTGTTGCAGTTTCTGCCTGTTACTCGACCAGTCACTCGATCACATCCTGCTCCTGGCATCAGCCAGTTGTGGTCGAGTGATTTCTGTAATTCTGCAATTTTTCTGTTTTTTGCATTATCACTTAGGACTGTTAGAAACACCAAAACCTGCAATTGCTTGGCTTGACTTAGTGACTTCTGATCACATCTCATCTGTTTGCATCACACCCATTTGGATTGATACCTATAATACTACAACGACGCGATAGTGTTTTAGGATTAATTGATCGTAAAAACCTATTATCAGATCTAATGACAAGAAAACAAGATAATAATAGTCAATATTCATTAGTGAGTGAAAACAAGATAATAATAATAGTCAAGCTCTAAATCTGAATCTAAAACAATGAGCAGACCATTTCCTTTACCCACTGTGAGAACTTTTCCCCATGAATCTTCCATAAATGAGTTTCATTCTTTCTGCATCGGATATCCGTGTTTTGCAATTCATCCAAATGCATACTGTTTCCAATTTCTATAAGTTAGTATTCATAAAGTTAAAACAGATAAAATGAAGATATGAAACTCAAAATAACTTACTCAACATAAGGATTCATAACAGATGTGTTCATTAGAACATATCGATGCACTATTTTTCTTTCTTTATCAGTGAGTCTAACTTCTGTAGCTCTCTGAAGGGGACGACCTTCAAGAATGCATGGATCTGTCTCAACATCTTTATTACGGTTGGCTTCTTCTTCAACAGGGACAGAATTCTGTAGAAACATCAAACAAAATGCAATGCATTCTCCAGCTAGATATCCTTCAGCCATACAAGCTTCTGGCCTAGCATAGTTTTTAACATAAGACTTTAATGTTTTCATGTACCTATATATCAAACAGATAACATCATTGTTAAAATTTGTTTTAAAACCAATCTAAATATCAAAATATAGAAACAACAAAGTATAGTACTTTTCAAAGGGATACATCCATCTGAAATGAACTGGCCCTCCCAAACGTATCTCTCTTGTAAGATGTACAGGAAGGTGAAACATGATATCAAACATAGATGGAGGAAAGTGCCTCTCTAGTTGGCACAATGTCTCAACAACCTCAGCCTCTAATGTTAAAAGCATCTCCGGATCAATTACACGCTGACACAATTTATTAAAGAATTTGCATATTCTGGTCACTGCAATCCGAGGACCTCTTGGTAGAGTTTCTCTCAAGGCAACAGGCAACAAGTTTTGTAAAAGGACATGGTGATCATGAGACTTCAAGCCACCAATTGTAGGAGGATCAAGTGACACACAGTTACCAATATTTGCACAATAGCCATCAGGACCTCTGAATTCTGATAACCTCTTGCAATTTTTTTTTTTTTTTGCCTTTGACAGCCAATAGGCAGCTGGTGGTAAGTATTTCTTCTTACCTCGAACTTGTGTGTGTAAATTGCTTCTAATCCCCATGTCTTCCAGGTCTTGTCGTGCCTTCAATCCTTCTTTTAATTTTGCACTTTGCATCAAAATTGATAAAATGAAATCAGAAACGTTCTTCTCCACATGCATTACATCGATGTTGTGACGCACCGGCATATACTATCACATAAAAATAAAACAGAATTAGTTCAACTATGCAAAACATTTTCGATTAGGTTAACCATCTTAGATATTAACTAACCTTCCAGTAAGGTAGTTCGAAGAGAATAGACAGCTTCTTCCTCCTCCACTTATCTAAGTCTTCTTCACATTCTTCCTGTGAAACCTCCTCGTTATCACCCAAATCAGATCTTTTCCTTTTGCTTTTCTTCTCTGAAGGTTTTCCAAAATCATTTCTAAAATCTTTCAGCATCTCAAATATTTCTGAACTAGTCTGAATTCTACGAGCAAACCCTTCTTCCACTGAGTTGTCAAACCACACTTTCTTTCTTCTATATGGATGCCCAGGACTGAGGCGTTTCCTATTGCCCATATAGACATTTTTTCTACTAAACTTTAGCCATCTAAAAGGTGTATCCTTCCCACAAACATTACACTCTTGTTTACCTTTCACTTTACAACCTCCAAGTGTTCCTAACCCCGGATAATCACTGATAGTCCATAACAACATAGCTCTAAATATGAAATTCTCCTTAGATACCGAGTCGTAAACTTCAATACCCTCATTCCATAGATCTTTTAGATCATCTACTAGTGGCTGCAGATACACATCGATGTTGTTACTCGGTGCAGTTGGTCCACGGATCAATAGAGTCAACATTATGTTTTCAGCCTTCATACACAATGTTGGATGCATGTTGTAGTTCACTAGAAATACTGGCTTAGTACTGTACTTCGTGTTCTGAATAGAAAATGGATTTATACCATCTGTAGATAGACCGAGTCGAAGGTTTCTCGGTTCAGCAGCAAACTGTTGCCATTGATCATTAATTTGAGCCCAAGTTGAGGAATCCACAGGGTGTCGCATTGTTCCATCAGTATTAGCATTGCTAGAATGCCACCGCAGATCCTCAGCCATCTTTTTTGACCTAAACATCCTTCTGAATCTGTCCTTTATTGGGAAATACCTAAGGACTTTAGCTGGAACCTCTTTCTTTTCCTCACTTGTGTGCTTATCCAATTCCCATCTTGAAGCACTACATCTAGGGCAGCTTACCATATCTCCATAATCCTTCCTGTAGAGAATGCAATCATTCTTGCACGCGTGAATAATATCATTCCCAAAACCAAATGTCTTCAAGAACTTTTTCACCTCCTCATCTATGGATGTTGGAAGCACATTACCTTCAGGTAGCATGTCATGTACCATTTTCAAAAGCTGATCGAAATAGTTCTTCGACATCCCACTCTTCACTTTTATTCTGTAAAGACCCATTATTGCAGAAACCTTGGTATAGTTAGGACAGCTAGAGTAGAGTGGAGTTTCAGCATCTTTTAACTTCTTCTTAAACTCTGAATCTTCTTTACTTTCAACATCGTCAGGTTGATCTTCATTGTCTTTCCAAGACTGTAAATTTTCCTCATCTTCATAAAATGCTGTTCTAAACAACTCATAAGCTTCTAATGAAGAGCTTGGAACTTCATCTGTCTTATTCCGTATATCCCCATGAATACTCCATTATGAATTACTCTTATACTTCTGATCCATACCCCTTATCACCAGATGATCAATTATTGTGTCTGCTGGTTGATGGCACACATTGCGGCAATCAATACATGGACAAAACATGTTGGGAGGATTACCCAGCTTCCTTGCTGATGCATTCACAAAATCAGTTGCTCCTTGCTCATACTCAAGGCTAGTTCTGTAGTGTAATAAACATTTCAAAATTGAGGCCAAAGTTAGAAACAAAACATTCAATATGTCAAAGAAAATAACTCAGATTAATCAATATGCAAGTCTATACCTTGGAAGCCAAACCCAAGACTTATCCATGTTAGTACAACACCACAGCTCCACGACCAAAGGATTCATACATTTGTGACAAAATTTTCTTGAATTAGACACTCTAATAAGCAGACCATATCACAGAACAGAGGAACCAAATTCGATGAAGAATCACAGAACATAATAAAAGACAAAAAAATACCTCTAAGTAACAAAAATATTTGAAGGATAAGAATTTGCAAGAACAAAAGAAGCAAGTTAAAGAACAAAACAAAAACCTTGCTTTACTTGAAAACAAATCGAAAAGAGCAAAACAAAACGATACCTTTACTTGAATCAAAGACTGAAATCTTCCTCTGTAAAAACAAAAACAATGGAAAGCTAATCAATACACAAAATGAAAAACAAAGTAAAACAGAGAACAAACTCTTCAATACTGAAACCTTTAGAGTACAAAGTGAAAACAAAAACCTTTAAAGTATCTCATACCTTAGCTTCAAATCGAACAGAGAACAAACTCTTCGCCTGTCAAAACAAATTGAAAAAATCAATTCGAAACCCTAAATCGAAAAAGCAGACCCGAACGAAATCCTAAAAAATCATACCTTTCCTTCAATCGAACACCGAACAAACTCTCCGCCTGTAAAAAAAAATTGAAAAAATCATCTGGAAACCCCTAAATCGAAACAGCAGACCCAAAAAATCCGTTAAAATCAAACCTTTGCCTCAATCGAACACGCAAATCGACAGAACAGCTTCGGTTTTCTGTTCCTATTGAAGAATCTAGCTTCAAAAAACCCAAAATCGAAAGAGAACTAGTAAACAAATAAAACCCCCCAAAATCGATTGAAGAATCTCGAAATCCAGATCTTATGATACCTTCAATCGCAGACTAAGAGGAGAGCGTCGAATCTGAGAAAAAGAATGGCCAAAAGAATAAAGCTTGAAGAAATAAGTGAAACAATGGAGTGAGCTAGAGAGATGTGAAACCGCGGGCAAAAGTTTTTTTTCACCAAATTTTCTCTAAGTATAAGCCGCGGGCAAAACAATTTTTCCGCCTAAACATTACACAGCGTTTAATATTTGATTACTGCTATGTAAACTATAAACCCTAAAAGCGTAACCCGAATTAAATATTAACCACCCATACATAGCGTTACATATTTTAAAAACGTTATATAAAAAAACACGTGATATTTACCATAGCATAAGAGCAAAGAACGCTATATTATACTGCTATAAATACCCCAATTTCCTGTAGTGTATTAATGATCGGCTAACCCTATGTTATAAGATAAGTCGGCTAAAATCCTTATACTCCGTTACTCAACTCACGCAGGCAACGACGCATAGATCAAAGCAATAAGATCGAGTTCGATTCTAGTCCATAAGACCCTATAACTAAGTGGTGTGTGCTTGTTATATAACACGATACACATTCGTCAACTAAGTTCGAGTGTATTAAGTGACCTTATGAGAAACGTAAATACTTGAGATCAAGAGTTAGGTCATGAATCTAACTACATGCATTAGGAGAAAGTTTAACTAGAAACAATACAGTAAAAACGATCAAACAAAACCCTAAGTATCGCCACCTAGACGATCGATTATGTCCCCCCTTTGATTAGCCCTTTAAACCCAACTAGAAAACTACTCTAGGATGGTTAAGGAACTCATCAAAGTAAGGTTTGATAAACTCATAAGAATAAGATGAATAAGAACTGAATAAGGTTTAGAGATTACTTCGTTGAATGTCGAAAACAAGAGGTAAGACTTCACCTTAATAGATCTTAGAGTAAACTAGAGAAAAGAGAGAGGATTGGTGTCTTGAAAGCTTTGGATCGACGGTAGAGGGCGATGGCGCTCTAGGGTTCCTTTTTAGCTTCTTCGTGGGTGCACGGCAGCTCTAAATTCGAGTCTAGGTAAATTATTATTCTAGCTCGGCGAAGTCCGATTATGTCTCCTTACGCCGAACTTGGGGGGGGGGGGGGATTAATATTGTTGGTGAGTGATTCAGCACACTACAGGAAATGTGGGCATTAACAGCGGCCGTTAAACGCTATGAATTAGATATTATAGCGTTTCCTAAACCGCTCTGACAGCGCCCGTTATAGTAGGTCCGACACTTTTGATAGCGGATTGTTGTTGTGCTATAGTTAAATATACAACGATAGCGTAGTTTACTGTGCAATTGATAATGTTTATAATAACTTGATACAGATGTTATTAAAACTCGTTAATTTGATTTTACCTATAGCAAAGATAGCAAATGTTTCGTGTTATTAGTTTGTTTTTAAATTATTCAAAATTTATTTATTAAAAATAATTACAAATTATTTTTTAATTAAAATATAATATTTTCGAATATTTGTAAAAAAAAAACCGTTAAAATTAATACAAAATATATAAGAAATATTTACTCAGATGTTATAGAAAAGTTGGAATATTACTAGAATATCATACATTTTTAAAAAATTACTCATATGTTTAGCGTCTTTGTGTAATCACAATTAACACCCTTGGTTAGTTTTTTTAATTAAGATTTTTTTATTCTTTTTTTAATTAAGAAATGATTAACGAAAATTAAGATAATCCACGTCATTAAAAGGAAAACAAATTAAAGCCACGTCATTAACGTCATTAAGAGGATCGTTTCGGTTTCCCTCTCTGTTACTTTTCATCCGCCAAAAAAAAAACTCTTTCTTCAACCGGCATTCCGACGAAGACGAAGACGAAGACGAAGAAACTCTAATTTTTCGCCGCTTATCTTTCCCTAAACTCTCTTCCTTCCGGCCAAAACTTTCAACTTTCTCGTTCTCTCTGTCGCATTTCCCTAAAGTCGGGACCTTTTACTTCGTTTACTCAACTCAAGTCGGGACCTTGTTTGAGGTATGAGTCGAAACTTTATTTTGAATTTTCCGGCATTAATCCGGCATCTAATTTCAATAGCAAGTGATTCCCGTGATTGAAACTGTTTTCCAAAAACTATCGCCAAGAAATTAAGGGTTTTTATCGATGGCTGATTTTCGCCGTCGTTGATTTACATATGGTGGCTGATTTGTTATATCTATTCGATTCGATGGCTTAGTTACTGTATGCTTTACGACTGATTGATGATATATCAATGCATCTGTGGCTGAGTTTGTTCTATGTTGTGGCTGAGTTACTATATGCCTACGGCTGACTTATTGTTTTTCAATGCATCTATGACTGAATTTGTTTTATGTTGTGGCTGAGTTACTATATGTTTACGGCGGAGTTATGGTTTATCAATGCATCTGTGACTGAGTTTGTTTAATGTTGTGGCTGAGTCTGTTATATGTTATGGCTGATTTAATATATGCTTACGGCTGATTTATGTTTTATTAGATGGCTAAGGTTATTTCTGAAGAACAACCAAGGGATTACCCTCCAAGGGCTTACCCTCCAAGACTTTACGCAGAAGGGGAGTTTGTTCTGGAGAATAAAATGATTAATCACAATATCAAGATGGGAGATTTCCCTGCGATTAGAGAATTAATTGGACAAGATGCGTGGAATGAAATGAAGGGGTCACCTATTGGAATAATTGCTAAGCTAGCTGATAGCCAATTCGTGTGGTCTGGTAAGACTGTTCATTTTCTGCTGTGTAGACAGTTAAGAATACATAAGAAGGAGATTTGGTTTCTAGTTGGTGGTCAACCTATCAGGTTTGGCTTGAATGAATTTGGTCATATCACGGGGTTAAACACGGATTCAATTCCTACAGAAAGTTTGAACCTAAAGCTGACTACAAAGCGTTCTTTAGTGAATTGAATGTGCCTGGTGGTGAAGGTCCAAAGCTAGATGAACTGAGGGCAGGATTATTAGTGTGCCGGTCATGGACTCCTGAAAAGCGTAAGTGGTTGGGGCTGTTGACTCTTCAAGCCATTGGACTCTATGGCTTGCATCATAACTCTAGAATACCATTTGAAAGTGCAAAAAGAGTGTTTGATGACGAAGCCATGAACACTTATCCATGGGGTTGGTCTGCATTTGAAGCCCTTGTTAATTCTATAAAGATGTTGAGGCCTATTGGAAAGACGTACACCATCTGTGGTATGGTTTTCGTGTTACAGGCTTGGGCGTATGATTCAGTCAAATGCTTTGGAGAGCGATATGGGAATGTAGTCAACAAGGATGAGATACCGTTGCTTCGTTGGGGTGGAAACCGTACACGTACATCAATGGAATCGACCATTGCTGAAGATATCAAAGCGCATGGCGAGGTAAGGTTTTGGCTGTGTTATGATAATTACTGACTGAGTTATATTTTTGATGGCTGAGTTATATTTTGTTATGGCTGGGTTATATTTTCGATGGCTGAGTTATATTTTGTTATGGCTGAGTTATGGTTTGAGATGGCTGATGGTTGATTTATTGTTAGTGACGTCTGAGTTATATTTTTGATGGCTGAGTTATATTTTATTATGGCTGAGTTATGATTTGAGATGGCTGATGGTTGATTTATTGTTAGTGATGTCTGAGTTATACTTATTGATGCTTGAGTTTAAACTTACTGATGGGTTTTTATAATCTCTTATGTTATAGCTCCGTGTGAGTAAAATGGTTATGAAGGATGATGTAAGAGAGCTGTTTCATACGTGGCCAGATGAAGAAAAAGACATACCACTTGATAATTTGATCCGAGACATACATGAGGATAAGTTTGTCAAAGGTTATTGGGATGTGAGGAAGACTGAAAAGAAGAAGAAAACGGTAAGTGATTTGGTGGACAGAAATGAAGGTGGGAAATCTGATGAAGGAGATACACAAAAGAAGAAAAATAAGAAGAAAGAAGAAAAGGTAAGTGTTATGGTATGTAGTGAGTTTATATTTTATGTAATGTTTGGCTAGCTTGTTTATGCGTTTTTGTATATGTGTTGCAGGGTGGTAGTGCGGAGGACGATGCTCTGGTCGATGTGTCTGTTAAAACAGTCGTGGATATGGTGAATCAATTAAACTCAAGGTTTGACACCGTTGATACAAGCATCAGAGATGTATCTTCAAATCTGGAGAAGGTGATTGGAGATAGATTAGAAGCGAGGGTGGATGCAAAGTTTGAAAGCAGATT